CGGTTACCGAATATCTAGTCTTCCAAGTTAGATATGGGGTGCTTCCAAAAATCTAGGAGTGCAATCGAATATCTTAACTGTATTTTAAACTTTTGTTAGCGAGGTCAATGCTGATAACAAAATATTGAGCGTTCTATTATAAATTACAAATCAAGAATACAAGTACATCCATAATTTTTCAGTTTATTTTCCAAATTCGCTATGCGAAATGAGTAAGATACAAGGAAAACAACGTAAAATATAGTTCTGCGTGGAAAAGAAAAAATGCAAATCACAAACCAAGAAACAATCTACAGTCCTCGGGGCGGAGCTGGAGGTGGTGGTGACTTGGGGTCGCTCTACGTCACTTGGAGAATAGAAGCCACCGTCTGGATTAAAGTCAGAACTAAGAGAACAACGGCTGCCACGGTAGCAGTTCCAGTCCAAAGATCTTTGAAGTAGACTCGTCGGAGCGTGGCCACGGATCTGTGGACACGGCTATTGTAGTGACTTTTGAGTTTCTCAGCTATAGGCTCATAGTGAGATCCAAAGTCCACGAGCCCTAAACACAGCTTATTCACCATTTCTGCCACCGATCCTTGATGCCCTAACCAATTCTTCACAACGTCTTTTAACGTAAAAATGTGAAGATATGTTAGGCTTATCATAGTTGAAAAAGGTGTTGGTCTTACGTGATATAAGAATGCTCAACCTAGTTTAATCATTACCCAAAAAAATCTGAATTTGTAATCTAACCAATGTCAAATACTTGTTTTTGTAGCATTTAAAATAAATAAATATCAGGACATGTTTTTACCTAAATATAAGGTAAACTGACTAAATAATTTAATTTGTTTCTGAAAAAATTCAAATCGCAAAAAAAAAATGGAGATGGGGGTGAGCAAGCAAGTTCCTATTAATGTATTTTGCTGAATAATAATTTTTTTGAATAATAAATTCTGAACTAGGTCTTTTTGGAAAGTGCATATACCTTTCTTGACGAGCAAGTCAACGTCTGCCTCAGTGTCTATAAGGAAATCCAAGAAGGCAATATAGTTACAAACATAAGCAGAAAGAGTGTAATGACATTGTTCAAGTGCCATTATGTTCCTTATAACCCTCTCAGTGTTATCTTCGGCTGTGAAACAAGGCATTGTCAAGACTCCTCCTTTGAAAACAATCACCAACGATAAATCATTATCTTCACCCACATTCACAAAATCCACTCCTGCACTGTCTAGTTTGTCTGCATTGTATAGACTCTTTATGCTCTTCGGCTGCTCAGCTTGTTCTTCAGACAAACAAAGTGTTGCCACACGGACACGTCGAAACAAATCTGTAAAATGTCTGAACTTCACTTCTTTTTTCAACTTCCCTTCAAAGCTAAAAACTCGAAGGATAATGTCACGCAACGTTTCCTCAAATCTAAATGTAAAGAGAAAAGGTTCGAAAAGGTCTTCTAAAAGAGCATAAGGAAGTTGGTTCTCGAGCAAGATTAGGTCTTCTAGAATAGTGGTTATGAGACAGGGCTCGTCGAAGAGAATGTCTTCTTGCCTTTGATACTTTTGAGTTCCGGTCTGAAGGAAGAACCCTAGTAAGAAAACAGCGTCGCGTAGGATCATTTCCACGAACTCCGCAGATTTGATCCATTCCGTTGATTCGGCATAGCTTGCCCTTATGATATATTCATCTCTCTTAATGATTCTGGTGAACTCTATGAGGGTTTCAGTCCCATATCTATTTGCAATTGCCTTAACGTACTTCTGCTTGTGACGCTCCATGTTCATGTAGTCCAAATATCTGGAATAATCCAATCCAAATTCATTAGAATCAGCTAAACTCTTTAAAAAAAAAGTGAAAGCTCTCAACACACATCAATACTAGTTAAAATATACTAATTGTTTCTTAAAGGAAGCGCCAAGTTTAACTAAATTATATCCACTATGAAAGCACAAGGACTCTCTCATGGGTTGACATTTCAGCATTAAAAAATAATAGTACTTAGAATAATAAAATTCTACGATTTTTCAAATTTATATACGCACAAATACACAGCAGTTAAGATGTTAGCATAAGGCAAACACAAACATGAAATCATACCCAATAAGTTCTACCAAAAAAATACAAAAAAGTTGTTAACATGCAATCTCTTGTCGGTTTGCGTTCTACAATTTTAAACTGGTATTTGATACCAAAGAAAATAAAATGCTATACGCTATTTAAAGGATAAATGTAAATAAATATAACACACACCGATTTTTTTTAAATCTGTATGATGATGTGTGTGTATATATCTTAACATACTAGAATTCCTTTGCCTATATATACATGTAACTATATAAAAGTACCTTAAATCCGTTTTGGAAAGCTCAAGGGCTTCAGCTTTCTTAGAATGTTGAAGTGGACCAAGTAGAAGCATCTGAGGAGTGTAAGCCTCTGGGTTCACTCTTCGTAACCGGTTAGGCACTCTATAGATGCAACAATACTCTTTGCTAAACAAAGAAGGCCATAAACCGGGAATCTCAGGTTCAGAGCCAGATACCGGTTTAGTTTTGGTCGACATTACCTTAGCTTTCTCAGTTTTTTGGAGGTTAGGAGCCGATGGATCACGAAATCCTTCGCTCCATCTACCCACGTTACCAGTTCCGGTTACATTCTCCATGGTTGGATCCTCGATCACCTTTTCTTTTTGTGATTCTTCATATTCACCTAGCGTTGCAGTGTGGTAAGGAGCAGTCCATGGACCACGAGAAGAACCTTCGCTCCATTTAGTTACATAACCAGATCCGATTTCATTCTTATTATCCAAGATCATCTCTGGTGGTTCGTTGTCAGTAAAATCGGTGAGCTTTATTCCTTGCTCTAGATCCATCAGTGGTTGATTCTCCTACAAGTAAGCAGTCAGTTTTTATATTTACATGTTGAAACTTTACTAAAACCAAGATTATTGAGGAGGTAGACGTGATTGCAACTGAAATTAAAAAGTATATATACTATAGTTTTACTCGAACCTTGGCCATGTTATGCTGATAACATAAGTTGAATTAGAGGCAGCGTTGCTTTTGTGAATATATCTAATTGTGCATGGATACGAGGAAATGGGCTTTTATAAGATTACAAAAGAGTGATAGAGGTGTTTATGAAGAAATGACGTGAATGTGAAGCTATTTAATTGAAGCATTTTTATATTGCTTCTGTCTTCAGTAAATCATCCCAACTTTTATATTCCTTTATTTGTTTTATTTATTGAACGGGCAAAGAATTATACTGTCGGGATTGAAAAAGTCAAGTCCCCAAACGCAATAGCACATTTGGACCTTAAGAGCATGATTATCCCATTAACCCATTTAGGGTCTCTTATTATTTTTTTTAATACTTTTTAGTGATAAATGTGAGTTAAGAGATTACACTAAGAGACACTTAAACTTTTGTGCTCCAATGGTAGTCTCTTATTTAGAGGTTCTTAAAAAAATTAAATTTTTTGTCTAATTAAAAATAAAATTTATTTATTAAATAAAATATTGTAAAAGATAATATTTTAAACATAAATTAAAAACATAAAAACAAAGATTATTAAAATCATTTAGAGACATCAAAACACATCATATTTTGCAGATCAAAATCAATTAAAATCGTGGAAGAATCTATTTCAGATAATTAATCTTCGAGCTGTTGCCTTGTAATCCCACTGCATGTCCCAAAATGTGCCAGAGACTGTTACATAAAACAGAAACAAAAACTCATGTGATGTTGAACACAAATGTAAAAACTAAAAAGATACAGGGAAAGGCTTTCACTTAGAAATCTCACCTCAACCACAGAGTTTATGCCTCCATTTATTGTGAACTTCAAGTCTGGGAAATCACGCAATAGGGCAAAGAAATACTCGTATCTGCATTTGACAAGTACAAGCTGTGTTAGAGCAATATATCTTCCAAATAGATAACCATAAGAGATACTAGAATATAGATAGGTGTAAGGACAAACTTACAAAGCTCATTATATGAATCAAACTTACAGAGGTTCTGTAGTGATTGTCAGTCCATCCCATCATGGGGGCAATACTGAACATGATTAACAGAAAGAGAATGAAGCTCAAGATCGCTCGCTGCGGATGAACATAATCATCAAAAAGAGAAAAAAAAAAAACTGAAACCCTTAGGTACATACCTGAACAGAGGAGGCGGTAAGCGTCTGAAACTGTCATAGCTTATTACCACCTGATAGTCAACTATACAAAGAATGTATACATTAGCTTCAAACCAAAATAGAATGAGTTTTTGATACCATAACAGTAAAACACAATATTATGAAACAGCAGTTTCCTTGAATCTCCTACTTGTATACTACTTCACAATAGATGACTTCACACATAAGGTTTGTTTCCCATAGATTGATCAGATCAAGTCCAAACTAAGCTATAAAACATCAATCTCAAACATCAAGCAAAATCTAAATCCAGAAGATCTTTTTAATACCTTCCCTGATACATCACACTGTTCGAACAAGTCCAAACTAAGCTATAAAACATCAATCTCAGACCTAAATAAAGCAAAATTTGAATCTAAAGTTCTCTAGTCTTCAAGAAAAAAAACAATCATACAAATATATAAAGAAATGTAAAATCATATAGAGACGAATACGGGACCGAGTGGAAGAAAATAGCGGACACAGACAGAGGGTGGGATTGTTTTGTCGCCCCTATGATTTTGTCGTCGGAGAGGAGGCCACCGCCGCTTTGCTTCGTCCTCTGAGGAGATCATCCACGATCGTCTCCACTCCGTTGAGGAGAAATCTCGAGTTTTCGTCGTCGAAGAAAAATGAATTTCTTCTCCCCGTATTCTCCTCCCAAAACCATATCAACTTGACGCGTGTCCACAAGATACGGCCTCTTCTTGTGCTTAATCAAGCGACGTTCGGCGACGTTCCTTAAGATAATTTCTATTTTCCATTTATTTTTTATCCTAGTCAGCAATTAAGATACGCTTAAGAGATGCCGATAATGATGCTCTTATGATATTCTCTTTTTGTTTTTTTTTTTGGACAAGGACCTTATGGTATTCTTACACAAGTTTCCAACCATTTTTAACAATTACTGGAGGTCATTATAAGATTCAACCATTGGGCTCAGTTCCAGCCCTTTATTTTATTTGGATCCAGAGCTAGAATAAGATTCGCTCATTTGGGCTTTAATTTCTGCTCCATATTTCATTTCCAAAAGAAACTATACTAATTAGAATTATGCAATATTCATAGAGTATATAGTATTTGTTTTCAACATTCCCAACAATTTCAAATATCATGAACTACAAAGTTAATTTAGGGTTGTTGGATTAGTTTGGTCGAAAATATTTTTCCAGGACTTAAAACTCCAGATCTCTCTCATTAAGGTGCAGTCTAAAAGTAAATGTGACTATTTAAATAACTTAATATATTATACCATCGTATCTACGTAGACAACTCACTGTTTGTCTATAACCTTTCGTTTTCATTGACTGTTAATATTATTTTTACAACAAGAAAGAACAGCAAAAGTTACAATAGTGAGCATATAATCCAAAATAAAGATGAACATATAATAATAAAAAGTAAATGAAGAAGCAGAAACTTCAAGAATTATTCGGGGTGAAAAATAGGAGAGAAGAAAAGTTGATCATTATCAAATTTGTCTCTTTAATGATGCAAGTTAATATGATAAATAAACTGTGGAGACAAAGACAATATGTAGGGTAGCCACTAATATATAATTATATATACAAATGATGTGATGTAGATTTGTTTCTTTCTTAATCTGTTCTTCCTATATGTTAAATCTTTCCCTTGCATGATTGGATTTGCTTACAAATTTAAATCATATTCTAATCTTCACCCTGAGAAAAAGATATTCGAAAGGTATTAACCCCCAATCTTTTATAAAAGAGTTTGAGTGCTATTTTCTCAGTAATTTTTCTCTTCCCAACTCACTCTCGCTCTTCCCGCTCCGAAAACGCGAACTCTTTATCTGAAATACTGATGTTGATTACCTGCGTTTTTTTTATGATTTGAAACCTTTTTTCTTGATTTCATAAATGTTTCATTTGAATCAGTGACTCCTAGAGAATACATGTATTCTCTTAAAAGGTCTGCAAACATAATACGTATTTTATAATGATATTAAGTTGGACCTAAAGCAAGATTTGGAGGATCTGATTTGGTGTGGCCCAAGAGATGTTACCACTAAACGAACTCCCACCATCACAAAGAAAACCCTTGTGATAGATACATCATACATGCCTGATTTTAACGGCTTACAAAAACACACATACACACATTTGTTTACTATCATGTTTTTACCTGACGAAGTTTTTCTTATCATCAAATTTTACACATCAATAGAACGATTCATTTAAGGATAATGGCTTAAACAATTTTCCTTGGAAATAGTCTTTTGAAGTAATTAATTATTGGAAGTCTAAAATGAAATGTAGCAAATACAAGTAGCTGTTATCATACATTATAAAGTGAAACTAGATTGCGAGAAAGTAATACATATCTCATGACTCTCGCCCATCGACCGTCGCTTGATGAAAAAGTTTCGATCTTCTATTTCGTTTTATTATTTATTTGTTTTAGTACTGGTTACCTCTTTGATGGGGAAACAGTGAATTGAATGAAAAAAAGAGTTAAAGGGGAACATCATATTTAAGTTTCTGAACCGCTTCCGTTGTCTTTTTTCAATATGTATATATGCATTTTATGCGTATTGTGTGGTACATGTGTACGTATCTATAAATTATCGCTGCAATATATAAGTACAGAGTTTCTATATAAAGAGATACAAAGCCTTTTTGTTTCTCGACATAGAATGCGGTCTATCTTTATTCTTTACCGTTTGATTATATTTTTGGAAAATTTACCTTTAATCATACGTAATAACTGTCAGTATCTTAACAAGTTCTATGAATAAACGTTGATCACTTAATACTCCACATGGCAATACGTTTCTGCCTCTTGTTTACTACTTGATTGGTCCACTTGCTGACACATTTTTTAACTCTTGTCTATCAAATATTCATTCCGTCTCAATTTAATTGTTATTAAATAATAAAAAATATTTGAAAATAAATATTTTTATAATTTAATTTTATATAATATCTTATTTGTATTTAAAATATAATTAAATTTATAGCTAATATAATTATAAATAATGATATTTTATAATCAACTAGATAATAATGTTTATATTTAATTATATAAAATTAAATATTTTCAATCTATATATACAAACGTAAATTGACAATTAAAATAAAAAAGAGAGTATATAACATAAGAAAGACAACTAAAAAATAAATTAAAATTAAAATTAAGACGATTTGAAAACAAACGTTTAATGAAAATCTTCCACCTTTTTTGTTTCACTTATTCACTGTAATATATCTTTCCTGCAATATAAATATATATATATATATATAATTTTAAAAATCTAAGTCAATAATTAAATAACTAGTCTATAGTTTTTGTGTAATATTTTTATTTTATTATTACCCATTAGTAGATAGAATTTCTTTTAACAGTTTTTTGCGAATGGTTGCAGATTGTTCTATCTCTCTAAAATATATATATATATATATATATATACTATTTAAACATTGAATAGTTTATAGTACGTATATCCTTTTTGTATCTAAATTAGTCTAAACACATTTCTGTAAAATATAAACGATTTTTCTCTATGTTGAAAAAACAAAGCTGTCGACCAGAAACAAATAAGTGGCATGTTCGCCATGTATATTTGCATTGACTATATAAAAATGTTAAATCTCGCATCAATCATCGTATATCGCTCACAGATTTTCCAACAAACTCTGCTCTCTATTTCTTAGTTTTTAGACTTTTATTTTGTATCTATCTGTACGATTACACAACTAAACAAAGTTTTTCTTCGTATATTCGATCAAGCTCAATCACAGTTACGTTTTATATTAACCTATCTTCCATGTGTTCACTTGCGGCATTGTCTTGTCTTCTCCCTTGTCTTAACAACCGTATAGAATTATATATTAATTTTCGTGGACTAAAAGGTAGATTAAAGCAATTCTGGTACGTAGTTATTGTCTAAAAATTTCAAGTACTTAGTTCTAAGAAAAAATAATTTCAAGTACACTATCAATTTAGTTTTTTGCAACATAAATCTTTCACTGTTTGATTTTTCCACAACACTGTGACGTTTTATGATTACCATATGCGTAAAACGTCACTCAACTACAATCTACATAGATATCGTTTTCATCATTTAAGATATCACAGCGTAATGTCAACCTATAAACATAAAGGATGAATAATAATTACTAATATTCTTTATAAATAAAATTGGACTATATTATTAATATTGAGAACCGTTATGCAGCTTAATTGTGACTAATGGGGTCAATATTCCTCAATCAACTGAACAGATTCTAAATAAACAATAGCCACACTTTCATGAAATGGACACTAGCTAGTTCAATTTATATCATTATGATCTATACGTGAGAATAGAGTTGCTCATTATTCAATGAATTCTTGTGTCAGCACTAATCACAGCTGAGAAAACATATAAAATTCAAGCAGTAATTATTCATTTAATTGTGGTGGGCAATGGCCTTATATGATGTGGGTTCTTAATCAATTATGATGGCGCCGAATCTAATATGACGTGTGAACACTGTTACCTTGATACAATAACACATTCTTTCCCATAAATTTTATTAGCTACGTGTACGCTTTATATTTAATCAAAANAGCTGAGAAAACATATAAAATTCAAGCAGTAATTATTCATTTAATTGTGGTGGGCAATGGCCTTATATGATGTGGGTTCTTAATCAATTATGATGGCGCCGAATCTAATATGACGTGTGAACACTGTTACCTTGATACAATAACACATTCTTTCCCATAAATTTTATTAGCTACGTGTACGCTTTATATTTAATCAAAAATTAATACCATGACCCCTTCGTATTTAAACAAGGTATATTACGTGGCGTTATATTTTTATCTCAAGAAGGGAACAAAAAGCTCAATTTGACACTTGATTATGAACTTAATTGAAAAGATGGCTTAATGAGTAATGACATTGTCCAGGACGTACGAAACTCGTCTTTATTTTATACTCCCATTGTACTCAAATTGTTTACGGCACGTGTAATAAATTAAACTACCTCGAGGCGATACTTTTTTATTTGGACTAATTAATTAGTGAGGTAACTAGTTAAGTTTGTGCGTCTAGGATTTACCCGCGGAGAAACATTTACGGTCAGACAAAGTTTTCAGCCGCCCATAAAAGTAGGCGGTAATAACGAAAGAACTTTTAAGTTTTGTGTGGTGACAAGTTAGATAAACGGACGGTGCCTAGAAACAATTGGAACAAACGTTTCAAACTGGGGATAACCCATCATTATAATTTTACATATGAATTGCAGTCTTCAGATTATAGTCATTAGCAATGCACAAACACTTGCAGTTTCTCCATTACCATTATAAAAACTATATATAACCACAGAAAAGGGAAGAGTCCTCGGAGAAGACTCTAACTGGTCTTCTAATAGACCCCAAACCTACTACCATATAATAAGATATGAGTCTTTTTGTGCCTGATTATATATAATTTGTACGGATTAGGATTTTTTTTTGTGTTTAAAATGTCGGCTTTTTAATTAATTTGGTGCACAAATAAATCTTGATTTATAGTTTGATCAAAATTTAAATAATGTTAGGACTTAGGATACTGCTATTAGATTGTTAGTATACGAAATAATAATTTATTTGTAATAGAGACATATTTTTATAATTTGTAGTCTGTCTAAAATGTCAAAACCAACATTTCGTATGGGTTCTCTATTTCCTAATATTACCAATCAAATATACTAAAGAAGAAAAACCGAAACTCTATGAGAAATAGATGCTAAATTATATATATGACGTCACACTAACCCCGATTTTTTTTTGAAGATTGGAAATTCGCACATGCAAGAGCGTCGGGCCATATTAGACGAGAAGTCAGCGAGTGCGAAGCAATATTCTTTTATTAATAAAAACGTAATATGTTTCTTTGTTTGTAATGACTATACATATGCAAACTAAGTGGTACTCCATCTGTTTCAAAATAATTGTCATTCTAGAGAAAAAATTTCGTTTCAAAATAAGTGTCGTTTTAGAGTTTCGAGGCAAAATTTATTAGTTTTATATGATATTCTATTTTTCTATTAGTTAAAAAGTGGTTAGGTGTATAAGTAATTGTGTTTTTATCTTAAAAATATGTAAAATTAAATATTTTTTTAATCTATGTGTAAAAACCTAGAGTGACAATTAAAATAAAACGGATGGAGTATTGGTTTAGTTGTACCGTGGTTTCAGCTGGAGTTTCTGTCCCAAGATTCTCCTTAGCTATCCATGAACATCTTAAATGGTAAAAAAAACTCAAATTTTTATAGGTCTTATGGTAATTAGTCTTTAGATCAATAACATTATGGTTATAAAAAAAAAAAACTATACATATGCAATGAAACCATGTTGTTTCTATTTAGTTTCACATGGAACAAAACTGGTTCGCTAAAACGGTGAATCACAAAAATATCTTCTTTGTTCCATGGACCCATTTCATCTTCCCTCATTCATTTTATTATAAACCAAAAACCATTATATATTTAATTCTTTTCCTTTATTATATTTTTTTCCTTATAATATGAAAAAGCCAAAGGAAAAAAACAAGATTGTGGAGGAATATTAATAGCCCACTTCACATCTATTTCTGTGCAACTCTCTTTTCTAAAGCTTCTCTCTAACAATGGCAACACAAATCAACATGGAGAAGAGTGCTTCTCAAGTTACCTTTATCTCCTCCTCCGCCTCATTATCCTATTCACCCACATCATCATCTTCATCATCATCATCAACAACTTCTAAATTAGGAAACCCTAAAAGAAAAGCATCTCTAAGATCATTATCATCATTAGCCGACCAAGATCTTGAAGTGAAACGTCGCAAGATCAACGGCGGAGATAAGCATCCGACGTATAGAGGAGTAAGGATGAGGAGCTGGGGAAAATGGGTGTCCGAGATCAGAGAGCCGAGGAAGAAATCAAGAATCTGGCTCGGGACTTATCCAACGGCTGATATGGCTGCACGAGCTCATGACGTGGCGGCTCTAGCCATTAAAGGTACATCGGCTTATCTTAATTTTCCTGAATTATCCGGCGAGTTTCCTCGTCCGGTCACTAATTCTCCTAAAGACATTCAAGCTGCTGCCACCGCCGCCGCCGTTAACTGGCAAGATTCCGGCGACAATAGTAATTTAAACGTAGCTGAAATAGCCGAAGAAGCCGAGCCGAGTGGAACAGTTTCGGACAGTGTAATGTTTTCTTCGGACATTATGACTCAAGAGTTGTCTGAAATTTCGTGTGCTTCCACGACGTCGTTTGTGGATAAAGACAGCGATGAAGAGAAACTGTTTGATTTGCCGGATTTGTTTAACGGTGGAAATGAGATGATGATGATGGGAAACGATGCGTTTTGGTATGATTCGTCCACGTGGCAGCTCTGTGGAGCCGATGCTGGGTTTCGGCTTGAGGAGCCGTTTTTCTGTCTTAATGACTAAATCACACTCAAGCTCACTCTAACACCTAATTAGTTTTCTCCCTTTTTTCACTTCATTTACTTTTGCTTTGTTTTCGCTTTTTCTTTTCTTTTCTTTCATTTTATTTTTGTGTTTAGAAAATAGACGTTTGATGAATGTTTTTGTAATATAAATGTGCTGAGAAAAGTTTGAAAGAAAGCTATAAACCAAAAAAAAAAAAAGAACAGTCAAATATAGTGTATGAGATTTTTATGATGAAATTGATAGTTGAAGGCGACAAACTTTTGATAAATTTATATTAAGATTTATAATAGAAAAAAAACAAATTTAGGCGTTGGAAAATAACATGAGTCACATGGTGATGGTGTTTTTGGATCTTTTACACTAAATTTTTTGTTGATTTTCTTTTTTTCTTTTACTTTTTATTTATTTATTTGTCCATTTCTTTAATGTATGTCAAAAGTGAAAGAATGTAAACTGTAATGAGGTGATTGCTTTTGGCAAACACCTTACTTTGTTCACCACTATGAGGCAAGGTGAAGACTGTTATTGATTCACAAACATATTGGACCCTTTGAGAGTGACAAATAATTTTGTTATAGATACAATATATTCTCTTTTATTTACAACGCTTGTCATTACATATAACAGTTAGCGTTAAAGTAGATGAAAACCCACTACATGAAACGATTTGCTCACACAGTTTAGTAAAAAGAAGAAAACGTCTTTATCAAATTCGTTGAGACAAGTTTCACACCTTTCAAATAATAGATTTCCTCCACCATTAAAAAAATCTTATTAACTATGCGTAGTAGAGAAAATAATTTATAATATGATGAATAATTACGATATATTCATCTTATATATCAATATATTCATTCAATAGGTAAATTGATTTTTGAAAAGAGGAAGCAACAATTTAAAATATGATGATTGATTTCGATTTATTCATCGTATATCAATGTATTCATTCAATAGGTGAATTGGTTTTTAAAAAGGGGAAACAACTTTGCATGTACTATTATTTTCATTGACAATTGGTAATATTCGACTATATACAAAGAGAAGATATACATGCATGTATTGTATAATGGTATTTGGTGAGACTTGAGGATAGTTGAAGACAGGTCATTAAATAAAAACATAGTGGGTGTAATAGTGAGATCACTATCGTTATCTAAATACGTAGTAATAATCATTAAATATTGGGTTAGTTTTCTATTTTCTCATGATTTTAGTTTGAATGTATGTAGACAATTACAACACATAATTAAGTCTCTATTTTCTCATGATTTTAAGGTTTGAATATATGTAGACAATTACACCACAAAGTTAAGTCTCAGTTTGATAGCAGCCTATCGATTATATATAGTATTTTTTTTATACGTACCTCTACAACTTCCTAATCTATCATCTGGATTTCTTAATTCTGGAAATGATATTGAAATGGGATTATAGGTACATGGAGTATGTAACTGCCCCAACTAATATGTATCTCTTCAGTCATCTATCGCAACTGATGTATAAGATTGAATCTAGCAGCATTTAAATTTATAATAAAATATTATTTAACAGTAGGATGTAAGTATATGCTTCTAATATACTACAATTTATAAAATTTTGAATGGATTTCACAACGCAAATACCTAAGTCGGTAGACTTTTGTATTATACTAGTATATATATACCGAACATAAACATATTAATTATACCGAATAGTAAGTACTAACTATACATATATATAAATGACAAATGGCAACAGTTATATAATAATTCATTATAAATAAGATTAAACAGGTACGTGATCGTTGGACGATACTATCACTGACAAATTACAAGAAGGTGAATTTGCTATTTGGCGTCTTCTGGCATGCAAACCTAACTACGTACAGACAAGTAATTAGTCCAGTTTATATTTTTGAACTAACGATCTTAATATATTCTTTGCCACTATATTATGGTTCCATATTAGTGGAAGGTACGACTGTTTTGTAAATACATGTACTGTATATGTTTCTTTATTTGCAACTATTGTATAAGCCTAATTAATAATATTAATGTACGAAAGAGAGAGCAAATGATGCGGAACTGTATTAACTAATACGAGTCATCACTTGTACCTTTGTTAGAGCAATTAATCAGTTTTACTGTCGATTCGAATAATACTTATTATACCCAATTCAAAAGTAATATCAATAGCTGTCAAAAAAGTTTAATAATTAGTTAAGTTATCAATATAATCATCCTATACATGACAAATAAAAAATTCCAATAATGCGAACTGAAAACAGAGTTCTCGTGAATAATTTTGGCAGTGATGAGATCAAACGTCTGGACTCCCGAGACAACAACAATTTAACATATTAATTTTACACAGCAGTTACTTTTTTTTTTTGTTGATACCTATCTTCTGAGATGTAAACGAGTTTGAGTCATTTCGAAGACATGTACTATCCTGCATATAGCCGTTATTTAATTTTACCGTTTAATTATAAGATTATTAAAAATCTATTTGATGTATATATAATTATATATAAAATTTTATACCATAAAAACATTATTAAAAAAAATCAGAGTGCTTAGATCATTTTGATCCCAATTTCAAAATATTATTTTAGTCTAATTTTCACTGATTTTTTTCAAGCCAACATTAGAAGTTACACAATAATTTTACACCAAAATCAACGCTATAATAGTGCTATTTTTTTTTCTTGAGTGAAGGCATATCGTGTTGTGGGTTGGAAATACTTTTAATTAAGCGAAAATACATCAGATACTTACTGTACGATTGCTTTCCTCTTTGGTTAATATCGTGCATTAAAAAGTGACAGTACCCCCTGATCACTATGTAATCTTATTTTATTTCGTTGCTCTTTATACCTTTACATATAATCATGAAGATTTGACAGGCTTCGTAATACATATTTTTGAGAATTATAATGTAAAAAAAAAAAAAAAAAAAATTCTGTTCGGTTTTCGATCTAATTTTTTTGTTTGTATATAATTTGTTTACTAGTAATTAGCTTAGATTAGCTGGATAAAGTTAGGTTACAATGTTACATAGCCTGGGGATTCCAGTCCAATCCCATCAAACGTATTTTTATGGTTCAATCAGCCGGTTTATTTTTTTCATTGATGAATATATAATGGTTTAAAATAAGTAACGCAAACATGAACTGAGAGATAGAGCCAGGATGGAGCTGAAACATGTGATCTTTATCTTTACGAATAAAGTGGCTAAAAAGAAAAAGCAAGCAATTAGAAAGACAAAACTGAAAGCAGTAGCAGAAGAATAATAATAACACTAAGAAAATAATTAAGAGCAAATGGTTCAAATAATTAGCTTTTATTTCTGCACATCTCAGCCAATTTTGAAAAAAAAAATGAAAAGAAAAAGAAAAGAGCATATGCAGTAATACCAATGATCCATGTTCTCAGAAGAAAAGAAAATTAAGAAACAAAATTTTTTAAAACTAATAGAAAGGAAAAGAGAAATACTTCTTCCATTTCAAATGAAATGTGGATCACAATTTTCTACACGTATTATTAACACGAACTACATTTACTTTAACCCAAGACCATTGAAATAATGCTACCAGCAAGAAGTATCAGAGTCCTCCCCATTCTCTATAACCAAGAGGACAACCTTGTTTTTTTTTTGTAACTGAGACATCCTTGTTTTTGTAGCATATAAAGTATGTGTAAGCAAATAGATTGGAATAAATGTACTCTACTCTACATAACAAAATGAGCTTAAATGTATATATGGGTTTATAAGCTATGATTTATCTATTTTTCTCTCTCTTTTTAAAGAGTAGTTTGAGAAAGCAAAACAACAAACAAAAACAAAAAGTGATTTTCATTGCTTGTTCCATGTGCATCATCATCATCATATGTAGATAGGCTTGATATCGTTGGGTCCGAAACTTGCTGAGCAAGTAGGACACTTTCTTTGCCTAGTTCCTGTGATCTTTTGCACACATGGGTTGCAAAACAAATGACAGCATTTCGTAATCACCACCTTTGTTTATTCATCAGACAAAGGACAAAAAACACAAAACCAAATCAGCACGCACGCAGTTGATTTAAATATTCAAACAAAGAATCATGATTTGACCAGAGTTGAGTCTTTCTTTACCTCTTTTGGGCGGTCGTTGCAGGCCTTACACTTCAAGATCTCTTTGAATTCATTGAGTTCTTCTCGGAGTTTTTGAGTGGCCGAAGATCCTTCTATCAGAGACCTAAGACGAGAAACTTTCTTTTTGGCTGTTTCCATTTCCTCCTCTATCCTTCTCCTATGGAACCTGGTAATATTATAACACATCCATGCAAAAGAGAACGATAACTTCAGCAACCAACACTTGCTCGAGGATGGAGAAAGAGTGAGAAATTTACCTTTCGGTTTCCAGCTCAAGTTCCAATGCTCCATAATCCACGCGACTTTTCTCAACTTTAGAATGCGACTCCTCCAGCTTTGACCTAGCTTGTTCCAAGCCATTCCCAACATCTGCACGTTTCTTTTGCAGATTTTCAAGAGTGATAGACTTTTGATATTTATCTTCCGCTAGTCTCTGATACTGATCTGTGCAGAGCCGCAACTGCGAGAAAATAAGACATTCGAGTCAAAAAGTCACAATAACTAAGAAGGTTTATATAAAATGCATTCAAAAATATACCTGATCTTCAATTCTTAAGGATCTCTTGGAAAGGAAACTGGCTGATGCACTGGCTTGCTGAATATCTTTATCCATGATGTATTTATCGATTAGCAGAGCATCTTGCATCTGTCTTGAACTTATGCCTTCCAAAAAAAGCTGAAACAGAAACAGACGAGCAAAAAAATATATCTAACAATCGGATTCAAGTAACAAGCTATCCTTATTTCATAATACTCTTCCAAGCACATATAAGGCAACAGAAAAATGGAACATGCCCATAAACAGAATACAAGTGCAAGTGTGAAAAAAAGAACAAGAAGAGTTTGGATACCTTGATGTTATAGTCATCTCTCTCTGTGACTTGAAGTAAAAGTTGTTGGTTTTGTGGTACAATGTCCTCGTAGGCACTTCCAATTGTCTAAAAGAAGATAGTTAACTGTAAATCAATACCCCCAACAACAAGGTTTTTAAAATCATGCTAGAAACAAAGAAACAAGAAATTTCATAAGCAAACCTGTATTTCAGAAAGATATGTTCCATGTTCCTCATTTTTGGATTTCAAGATATCAGAATGCTTTGAGACATCCCTAAAACAGAAAAGACACATTCTTGTAAGAGAAATGCCATATGAAGCATACGAAAAGTAATGATTATTCACCGTTTGCAATCATCCATTTTCTGTCTTAAATCAGCAATCTCAGCTTCCGCAGCAGCCAACATTTGCTGGGATACTGCTTCAGCTTCATTTGCTGCCTTAACGCGCAGCTCGAGATTCTGCTCATCTAGGGAGGACTTCAAACTTTCAACATGAGCCCAAGCCCTGTACTCTTGTTCCTTGGCTTCAGCTATGTCCCTGCCATATCACAATATCCACAGAAAATTCTCAAGGCAATGCACCAAAAGCATTTTAATAACAAGTGGTCAGCCAAGAAAGGAAGATGAACAATTTTATTACAAGTGTTCTACGGTTCAGTCGAAAGGCAAGTTGCGCTATGTATTCATCTATATAGAAGGGAAGGCCAAGGAAACTAGTCTCTAATAATTTCAAATCTTGGATATCGATCATACAATTTTGCTTACCTCGGATCAGTTGACTCGCGTTTAAACATGTCCAGAAACAACTGTAACTCCTCGTGACTGTTCTTCAAATCACGAACCTGCATGACAGATTCAACTTACTTTAAAAATAAAGACCATATCAAATACATCTTCACCAACCAATATTTATTATGACACTTGAAAAGATCAAAAATTGTGAATCCGAGTTCTCACAATACTTCTTCCAAGAATATATTTTTTTTTCAAACAAGTTTGACATAATGCAAGTAAAGATAACATATAAGTGATGGCTAGTACACTGAAGAGGTAAATGTACTGCATCATACCGTAGCATTCAGATCACGTATCTGAGAAGCATAACCAGCTGATCTCAGATGCAATGCTTCACACTCTTTTGTCTGTTCACCAATTAGGCTTATTAAGTAAGCAAAACACAAACTGTAACAGCATACATTGTTCAAGACTATTGCTCACCTTCCTACATAGAACCCCGGAGAGGGACTGGACATCAGCACGCAGAGAATGAATACCTCCAGCAGTCTCTTTATAATTGCTTAATTGACTTCGCATGGAACTCATTTCCTCTGGAAACGAAGAAACTAATGCCTTCATATCTGCAAATATTTCTTTTCTACCTGACATATACAGATCACTTAATCAGACTCCAAAGTGAAACTGATTGATGGGAGATAAAGAATGGTAGACAATGTTACCAATTTGTTACCTCGCTCTTTCGATATATTTCCCAACCTAGTCTTGATTCTCGTTTTTTCATCCAGCTGTTTCTGTATCTCCACATCTAAAGAAGCGATTCTAGCATCAGCAACAGCAGCAGTCCTTCGAGAAACATCAACTAGTTCATTTCTTATATTCAATTCCCTTTCCTTCCAGAAAATTCTATCTTTATCAACCTGAAATTTCCGAATGGAGATAAGCTTCACACCAGATATATACATCACAAGGATATTTAAAAGATGAAAATCGCAATCCAGATATAACCTGTAGCTTCTCAAGTAAAGTCATATACTTGAAAACTGCTTCTTTAGATTTTCCCAGCTGGTCCTTCAAAGAAAGGCAGGCTTGAGAAGATGAGATGCCCCTCACAGACTTTGACTTGTTCTGCTAGGAAACTTATATATCAGTTTTAGCAAGAGGAAGAAGCCACATTACACAAGTTTTCCATACATCGAACTCTTGCAGAGATAAACCAATACAGGTAGATACTCTAATTGAATTATAAACTGACCTGTAAAATGCTCATTTCTCCAAGAAATTTTGTCCTCTCCTCATGAAGATCTTTTAGCTCTTGTAGCCTGCTTGAAGCCAGGACCTACAAAATCCAGGCTTCTATTAAACCAACACTCCTAGCATTACCAATAAACACACAAAAAACCAAAAAAAAGAGAGGGAAATAACCGTTAACTCTTTCAGAACCGCTTCCATGTCTTGCAAATCCCTTTGTTTATCCCTTGTCTTATCGCTGCTAGCAAGCTTATTTCCAGGGCTCAAGACCGGTAAGAACGCCCCTGCTGTTGCATCCCTTTCCGCTCGCAGTGCTGACAAGTCACCATTACATTGTTGAAGCTCCACGAACTCATCCTCTAGCTCCCCTGCAAGAACACCAAGTAAAGTATGATGTCATCTCATATAGCAGTCACAATGTAATAATCTTTGAGCACGCATGTAAACTTTTAAACCGGGGCTACAGATCAAGGTAAGAAGGTAACCGATTTTCAGATTTAAGATGCTTCGCATGAATACAACTTATATTTGAAGCATAGATACAACGTCCATGTAAAGGTTACCAAAAAAAAATACTGCATCTAACAGTCAATATTCCAATGAGAAGCGACTACGTAGCTACCTCTTATTCGTTTAATGTCTGCTCTAACTTTAGCATCAGAATCTCGATGGCTCTGCAATTCTCTCGAAAGAGATTTGAACTTGACAAGTACATCATCTAGAACCACTCTGAAACTTTTAACTTCTGATTCCAACTCATTCAACGCTAGCTGGCCACACAAATCTAGAATGGAAGGCAATTCCGTATAAGACCAGGGTTAATACAAAATTCTAAAATAGTAAATAAAAACCAGGAAAAGAACTGAAAATCGATTGTAGTGGAAGTCATACCTTTATCAAAACCAGCACTGAGAATTGTGGGATAAAGTCCATCCTTCAGACACCTTAAATCATTAGTGGCAGCTACTAGGTTATGCAAGGTTTGCGTCACCTGACTTGATGTATTCCCTCTATTTTCTTCCACACCATTCGAGCAGCTATTGGATGAGGAGCTCTCCGTGGCACCAGTTTCAAGTAGCCGGTTGATGAAATCGTCTTTGTTATCCGGTGTAGACCCATCTGCGTAGCAAATCCAATGTGTGTTTTCAACAAGACATATGTGTATCACATAACACCAGATTAAAACTAGGTCCTAGCATCAACAGAACGTAGAATAGGCTGGTCAAGCAGTTCATACCCTCCTTCTTTATAGACCTATGAGCTCCACTGCTTGAACAACTCACACGAATGGAGCATGATTCCACTGCATCTGTTAGCTGCTACAAAAGCACTAGTTAGATATTTTAGAAGAGAAAAAAAAAAAGAACCACAATAACCACTGAATTTTACCTTTTCCCAAGACTTATGAACAGTCTTCAAACTGGAACTGTACGGTAACTGTTTACCCTTGATCTGAGAAAGCCTATCTTCAAGAATAGAACACTCAACCTCCTGAGCCTCTAGCGTTTGCGATAGCTTCAAGTTTTGGAACTGAAGGACTGCATTTTGATGCTGTATCAAACAAGAACGAATTTCTTAAGAGATAGAAACATAAATGCACTTAAAATAACTAATTTGTGTGCTTTCAAATTTCGTTTCTTTTGCAGAATCCATGAAATTTCACATTAGAGGCGTGGTGGTTTTCCGTTTCACGGATTGCAAGTTTGCACCTTTCAACATAGACAGTGACTAAACTTATGGTTAGTATAGATGCCAACGATTACAAAGTAAACAGGCAACAGCAAGAGCAAGACATTCAGCTCAAAAAACTAACTACAAATCATTTAATTAGATTAGTCAACTATAGAGATATATGTAAGGGCATGCACCAATGGGGAAATGAAAGAAAGAAAGAACCTTGTCCTCAGAGGAGGGCCAAAAGAAGGTCTGTTTCTTATCGGCGGCTGCAGTCTCCGTGGGTGAAATGGAGCTAAAGTGACGCTTTTTACGGTCAGGCTCGCCTGTGCTCGTCGCCATTAAAAAAACCCTAATAATCGCCAATAAGGAAAGGACAAAGCTTTCACTCACATCAGATTGAGTGGAATACCAAAACCCCCAAACTTTCGACCTAATGATAAAACCCTAAAACGATCTATCACTAACCAAGCTACGTAATTGATTCAACCAATGAACAACTCAATCGCTCTCAGTTCCCCCCAGAATAAAAGAAAAGAAACCCTAATCTCACAGGTTGTTGAAGAATTCTTTTTTTTTTTTCTTTTTTAGAATTCAAACCTCAAACTCTAATTTTCTCTTGCACATAGAGCTTCTTGTCTGATCATTCGTTCGACTGATGCTACAAAAGCACTCTCGCGAACACACAGCACTCAAAGACAAGAGAGAGAGAGAGAGAGAGAGAGAGATGGGAGTTAATTCAATGGTTTGTTGCCGTAATTCTGTGAATATCTGAGGGGTAACTCGGGAAATAGTATTATATGGCCGTCCATAGAGAATCTGAAACTATCTCAGCCGTACGATCTCGTGTTTCATTGGATTGATTTTGCTCAACAATTAAAAAATTTGTTTTAAAATAAGCTCATCTCGTTAATTAATGCCTCTTAAGCACTTAAATAAAATCTTCGGTAATAACACAAAACAAATCGTAGAACTAGAATTAATCAACATTAAAATCACACCAATACAATGACATACATATACCATAGTGTGCTAACCGTGAGAGAGACCAAAGTAGAAAGAACACAGTGTAAGTTTTATTTGTGTGGTAGAAGAATCAATCGTTTTTCGTAGCGGCTTTACGTTGCTTCTCTTCCTCAACTTGAACAAGCAAAGTCAAGAGAGCTTCACAGACTTGAGCAGCATCAGCTTCTAGAGGAACCTCGTTCAACGACGAGTAAACCATCCACGCATGGTCTAGTTTACGCTTTGGTCTAACCACCACGGAGCCAGGAACCTCTGCGTCGCAGCAAGTCACAAGCCCATCACTCTTTTCTCCGTATCTGACTTGGAGCAGCTGAGCGCAAGCAGCCATTGCAGCACCGAGTGGCATTACCACTGGGAGTTTCGTGGCTTGGTTCGTGAGGGGAAGCTCAGCGTGTGCCACGTGTGATAAAGTAGCGAGAACCGCTGGGCTAATGCTAGCTTCTGTGCGGAATGAAACCGTGGGGAGTTCTCGAGGGAGCGGATGATTCTTCAAGAATTGTTTTCTCCTCTCGTAAGTTAAATCTTCCAAAGCTTGAATGTCACCCTTCACAAGGAGTGAATCAGAAAGATCAAAACATCAATAGAATCTAGAAAGATAATCATTTTGTTAGATCAAGAAGAGACTTGTTGCAAACCTTTATGACTTTGGAGATCATAATCTCCATGAGCTTTCTCAAATTGACGTAATCACCGAGTTGTCCCTCGCGGAGGATATCTGTAGCTATTGGGCTTCCACCGTATGGACTCTGTGCTAATACTAATCCAGCGACTTTATCCTTAAGATCAGGCCAGTATAGTGATAAAGCAGCTGCTGCATCTATACCTCCTTTGCTATGCCCAAGAAGTAGAACCTTTTTATTAGAACCCCAACAGAGTTCCTCTATGTATTCCTTTATCTCTCTCGCATTCTTCTCAACCGAAGACTGATATATAAACAATTTTTCCCTATATCAGTATGCTGCTACATACACTAAATGTAACTTTATTAAGTTGAGCTAGTTATGATTACCTCACTGTGAATCTTTGCAATATGACAAGCCAAACCCAATTTTGAGAATTTCGTTTTCGTATCCACAAAATATAGAGGTCCATGATTGCTGAAAAGACCTGAGAATTTTGTTTTCCTTCAAAAACTTATATGCATTCTACAATATACAGTAAAGAAGTCTAAGTGGATGGCAGGAAAAATAAGTAGTGATACCTGGAACCAACAAATAAACCAGCGTATTTGGAAGCCTGTGTACACCATGCCTGGAAATGAAAAACCAATCAACGGTACCATTCAGTAAAAACAAGACGTCGAACAGCACAGTACAAAGAACATATAGCATGCAACTACAGTCGATCCATACCCGATGTCTTCGAGGATTTTATTGAACCTATCAGTTCCATCTTCAACAGGAGGCATCTCAGGGTCACGCTGTAACCATCCTATGTCATCTGCCGAGCCACGGACAGTCCTTCGTGCCCGCTCAATGAGCCTGAAAAAAGAAAAACAATAGATCAATCACCCAATAGCTGAAAACTTGATAAGAAGAACCAGTGATTAGAGATTCTTCATTTTCAAATCCTCATGGTATCAGAAATTTTCGTTTTATCTTCGCATGGGAAAGTTGAAAAAGAATACATACCCTTGGAACATGGAAATTCCATAAAAACCTCCTACTCCATTCGATGTCACAATTGCATTTGATGACTGAGACAGAGTCTCGGTAGACTCCCTTGATGGACTATTGGCTGCAGTAGAAGTAGACGCCTCTGAAGAAGTTGAACACCGTTGACCAGGAGTAACACATACGCTTACAGGTGAACTCCCATCAGCTCCTGATGTTAATCGTAGCAACTCATGGGGTTGGGAAATAGAATTACACGAACCTTGACCCCCATATTCCACTGATGAATTAAAAAGAATGGAAAAAAAAAACAGTGAAAGTCTTAACATAACGTGTGATGATAAATATAGCCATTTAACATTATATAACACAAGGAAAGCCTAGAAATGAACTTTGAAAATGTATTGGTGAGTACAAGAGAGAGAGACGGAGAAAGAAAGGGGGTACCAGAATAATCAGAGAAACAGCTCCCAAGGTAAGAGGTAGCTTGGTTTATATAAGAAGCAGCTTCATTGAGAGCTGGTAAAGAAGTAAACAGTTGTGATGCAGGCACACTCTCCCCACTTCCACCACTCTAAACATCAAAAAAAAAAGGAAATAACTAAGACACTCCCATGCATACATAGATTAACCAACCAACTTACTGATTTTTTTACACTTCCATAAACCAATTAATATTGAGAGCATAAAGCAAGTAAGGGAGCCACAATACTTACAACTAGAGGCCTTGTGGATTCTCCCTCCTTTGGTTGACCAGCTTCTCCCATTCTGATCAATTTCTGAACAACATACACACACACAAAAATAAACATAATCAAATCAAAATTAACAATTTCAAAAACGTAGAAATCAATTTCCATGTTCCAAACGCGAATTAGGTTTTCCATGGAGTAAATTTTTACTATCGATTATCGAGGTTTGATGACCGGATCGGGAAACAACAATTCCAAAATCGGTAACGAGTTTTTGCGAAGAATCGATTCAGAGAAGAAAAATCAAGTAATGAGAATTGAGGAAGTGTGTAGGTACCTGGAGTTTTAGGTATGTGGGATCAAAACGAAACATGCGCACAGGAGCCACCTTTCTATCTATCTATCTATCGCCTTCGGATCATTTTCTTTTATTAACCCGCGGGTAATAGAAGAAAGAAAGAAACCTCGTGAATAAAAAAAAAAAAATGTTATAACTGCGTGTACAAGAGGGCTGTGGAAACGCAACACGTGTCCATTGGCACAGAGATAGAGATGAGACGAGGCGAATATATCTCCATGGGCTTACATAATGGGCCATATATTGGGCCTAGTTATTTATGCATTACAACAAACAAGCAAAAAAGAAGTTTTAGTCTACAGAACGTTCTTTTTTTGTGAGAAGGCATTTTTGTACAGAACGTTCTTGTACGTTGTTAACACAACACAGAGCAGGTAGCACACCAACAAGTAGAGATTTGAGCTGTGAGAGAGCATCATGGAGATCGACGGTAATAGTACCTGCAAGAAAGCAACACGATGAACTTTGCTTTCTGATTTTTCCAATTGAGGAAAAGATGAAGAAAACAAACTTACACGAATATTTTGACGGCAAAGATGGAGGAGTATTTGCGGAGAAGGCGCTCAACAGTGTACCATTGAGATCGATCTGATCCGTCTTGGTAGCCAATACGTGGCATGTGTAGCGAAGCTTTTTAAGGCGAGTGGACAATATCATTATGATAAGAAAAAACAAAAGTTAAGCTCTTTGGTAACAGTTTTTTTATTAAAGGAAGACATCACAGTTTGTTCATACCTGATTTCTGAGAAGCAGAGAATGAAGCTTTAGCCAAGCAACGTTCAAGATCTGGAATCGAAATGCTACTACGAGGGACTTTACGCTTCGGTCTGTAAGATTGTGTAACTGCAAGTGCTACCCAAACAGGTTTGGTTTCTTCTGTGTTTTGTTGCTCATCATTGTCTGCACAACAAGGAGATGAGAAGGTCGGTGAAAGTTATTTAGAAAACTCAAATGGAAAATATACTTAAAGAAAGTTGCAGACCGTCAATTTTTATGAGATGCAGATCTCCGAGGTGAAGGTCTTTAAATTCAGATGCTCGTTGATAAGCATCGGGTACAGTGTTAGAAAGTTTTGACAGAGCATTAAACATTCCTCCACGTCCCCAGTTTCCAGAGTCATCAACACAGCTGTGCCATAAACCAGTATTTGAAACAATCAGAGCTAGTTGAGATTTAGTAGAACAATTGAAATGAGGCTTACCTGAATATGATTGCTGGCTCGTCAGACACAGTTGATGGTTTCGTGCAGTCTCCATAAACAAAGTGAACAGATCCTGCATCTGAGTTAGAGTCAACATCATCAGGGAAGATTGGCTCTTCCACAGACAAAGACTCATAACCATGTTCTTCCCAAGTGGCTAACTTCTTCTCTTCTGCCTTTTTCCTAGCAGCTTCAACTCTCACATTTCTTTCTTCAGACACGTTCTTTCTATTTCCCAGCTCCATAACCTTCTCATCCTTGCTTGACCGTGATGCTTCCTTCAGTTTCTCAACCCATGAAAGGTAAGATGCTTCATCAAGCTCGGAATATACATTAGCAGATATTGAATTTCCTCTCAGAGTCTCACTCGTATTAATTTCGAACTTTCTTTCTTCTTTATCCGGTTCAACGTTTTGGCGAATTGCCACGACTTTCTCAGCAAGAGAACTCATTTCCACCATTTTCAGGTTATCAGATTCTTCATCGTGAGTCTCCTCGGGATCAAACCTTTGTAAACCAAACACTAGGGACCGTAAATCACCACGATCTTCTTCTTTATCTTCCATAGTATCTCCCACAACGTTATGACTAAGCTGCAGCTTTCTCTCTGCCCTTCTCAAAATAACCTTAATAGACACATATTTAGATTTTTGATAATACATTCAGATGAATTTTGTGATTAGAAACACTACCACAGACCTCTTCCACAGTATGTTCAGACACGAGGTTTATAGACAACACGTGACTGATTTGTCCAATCCGATGAGCTCGTTGCAAAGCTTGCTTATCCACCTGCGGGTTCCAATCTTGTTCATAAAATATAACCTGCATGTTAAAACACACACACAACAAATATATGATATGTATTTTTCTCTGTGTGGATAAATAATAAGGAAAGAGGCAAAGATGACGCACAGTGTCAGCAGCAACAAGATTCAAACCGACTCCCCCTGCTCTTGTTGAGATCATGAAAACAAAGGCATTGCTAGCATCAGCTTCAGAATCCAATCCTCTTTCTGATTTCGCGCTGAAACTCTTTATGGCAGCAAAACGTTCTTCAGCCCGAACTGATCCATCAAGACGCTCATAAGAATATTTACGAAGCTCCATAAAATCCTGTGTTTGGAGGAAGATATATGTCACTGCACAGGGGTTATCCAATATAAAATAGCGCTATAAAGAAACCTGTAAAATGTCCAGTGTAGAGGTCATTTGGGAAAACAGGAGGACACGATGTCCAATATCATGGAGCCTCTTGAGCAGTTGGTCCAAAACTAAAAGCTTACCACTCGCCTGTCAGAACGCAATTGCTATTGAGCAAATTTTTTATAACAACTAGCAAGCATTGTTTGGATAGTTAGTAAACCTTTAAATTACCTGAACAAGGTGTTCACCCTCTTCAAAAGGTTCCGGTTCAATACCTGGAAATAAGTAAGGGTGGCTACATGCTTTTCTGAGCTGTATCACCTGCTCAAGGGAAAAAATCGGGAGATGAATAAAAAAGTGCATATATTTCAGAATATAACAAAAAGCACTTATGAAATAACTTGAGCTACTTGATAGAAACATGAGAAACTGTCAAACTGGCTCACAATATTTTGCAAAGACGTATGATTGGATGCTCCAGACGAAAGTGCGAGAAGCCCTGGAAGCTCTTTCCTCAATATTGAGGTATATACCTTCTTTTGAAGACTGACGAGAGGAACCATTCTACCATAAAAGAAAAGACAGAAAAAAATAAGAAATGAATTGAGCACCTGCAAATACTTTACTGGAACGGATTAGCCACACAAAGTACAAGACTTTACACTGTTAGCTCCGTGAGAGGTGGCAGCACCAGGTTCCCAGCCTCAATTAGCAAAGATTTTGTACGCCGTAGCATAAAGGCACCTAAGATAAACTTTAAACTCTTATATGTGTCCTTAGCATTTAATGCATCAAGCCCTGTTTAAACAACCGAGGGAATACATATGTTAGTTGATCCCTTTTACATCTTCTTGATGACTGTCAACACATAAACGTCAGAGTGCACAGAGCACTACAAGGCTAGAGCAAGCAAACCTGTTAAAGACTCGCCAGTCTCTTTGAATGCGGAAAGGAACTGGTCCAGAGTGCCAAAAACTAGTGGCATGCAAAAATGCATAAGAGCCCAAAGTTCAGTAAGATTATTCTGAATAGGCGTGCCAGTAATCAAGAGACGCCGTGGTATGAGAAATTGTTCAAGTAAAACATTGTACAGTACCTGTGACATACACAACTTTTTTCTTAGATCAGATATTCACAAAGCCAGCTTGCGTAAAATCAAAGTAATAACTAAACAGGTTTTAACTATATAAGCCTAAAGGGATGGCTTCCATCAAGGTATAATAAAACCACATAAACAGCTACACAGGAGATGTGTGGATTGAGTGGAAGTTAATCTTGAATTCCTACAGTATCTAGCAACCAATGATCTATCATTCAGTTCACAACTCAATGCAATTCTCTAGTTAAGCAACATACACTCTTGGGATTCTTGAGTCTTTGAGCTTCATCAATTACAGCATACTGCCACGGAATCTGAGAAAGAAAGTCTTGATCCACCAACGCTATATCATACGTTGTCAACAACACATCAAACGGTAACAAAGATTCCTGAAAGTTAAAAAAAAAAAAGAGAACAATATAATACATTACTGCTAAACCCAAGTTCTAGAAAAAAGACAAAAAAAACTTTTTAACTCTCACCTTAGAACTCTTGTTGACAACATGATCATACATCACCTTACGCAACTCCCTACGGCAATCCTTATCACCAACATACCTAACAACTTCAAGTTTTGGAGTGAACCTGTTTATCTCAGACACCCAACCATCCGTCACGCTCAAAGGACAAAGCACAACTGCCAAAAAAAAAAAAAAAAATCAAAGACACAAACATCAAAACAATAACAACATCAGAAAAACTTGTCTTAAAGAAGCAGACTCACGAAATGGGCCTCGCAATCCTTGACGGAACTTCAAATAACTCAAGAACGAAATCGCTTGTAGAGTCTTCCCTAATCCCATCTGCTCAATCCTTTAATTAGACTCAAACATAGATACAACATTTCACACTAAAATAAACGGTGGTCGTACTGGTACCTCGTCTCCTGCAATTAGAATCGAAATCGGTTTAACTTTTTAAAGTTCCGGTTTAGGATCGGAAGAAGAAAGGGAACCGGAGAGTTACCGAGAATAACATTGACGCCGAGGAGATATTTGTGTATAAGCCAAGAGACTCCTTCGACTTGGTGAGGCTTTAGAGTCGCTGTGACTCCGATTTTTTTAAAATCGGGAAGCGCGTGGGTTGCTTGTGGATTCGCGGTGAGTATGGTGTTGGTCGCCGCTTCGAGTCGCCGTTGATACTCCATCGTCGACGACTACGTGGTGAGGACTTTTTTTGGCGGTGAACTGTTTTTTTGATGTTTTTTTTTTTGGTTTTGCCGCTTGGTATTTAGGGTAGAGAACCGGTTCATGAAAACCGAGATTTGATTAAAGGCTCGACGCTACGACGTCGTTTGTTTAATAATTAATGGGCCGGGCTGACATTTTCGAAGCCGTTTCATTTTTTTGGGTTGTCCCTCTCATTTGACCATCCTCATGGTTGCTTTGACCAAAAAGCCTCTCTTTGCTTCAGAGGGTCTCTTTGGCAAAACCTCCTTTTAAGTTTTCAAACGCCGGAGAAGAGAAGCGAAAGCACACTCTTCAAACCCTAGCTCCGGTGGAGATTAACGAGAAAAACGCAATGTCAGGGTTTCCGTTTGGTCAATCGAACACCGGTGGAGGATCCTTGTTCGGATCTTCCTCAGCCGGAAGCTCCTTGTCTGCTTCATCCACCTCATCTCCGTTATCTTTCTCCTTCAATCAATCCACGGGATTCGGATTCGGAGCCACCTCATCTGCTTCTGCTCCCTCCACAACGCCATCGTTCGGATTTGGAGCCACCGCGTCGGCTCCTGCTGCCTCCGCAACGCCATCGTTTGGATTCGGAGCCACCTCATCTGCTCCTGCTTCCTCCACAGCTCCATCGTTCGGATTCGGAGCCACCGCAACGGCTCCTGCTTCCTCAGCAACTCCATCTTTCGGATTCGGAGCCACCTCAACGGCTCCTGCTACCTCCGCTGCTCCATCGTTTGGATTTGGATCCGCCGCAACGGCTCCGGCTGCCTCCACAGCTTCATCGTTTGGATTTGGAGCGACAGCATCTACCGTAACGACTCCTGCTTCCTCCGCAGCTCCATCGTTTGGATTTGGAGCACCCGCATCAACCGGATTCGGGTTCGGATCCTCTGCTGCGTCTTCACCTGCTCCCTCACTATTTGGATCTTCTACCAATGCTTCCGCGGCTTCTTCTGGCTCTTCTCCTTTCGGATTTGTAACTTCATCGGCTTCTCAGGCTGCTGCTGCTTCTTCTTCTGCGAGTGTTTCAGCACCTTCTCCTTTCGGAGCGTCAGCCAGTGGTTCAGCACCACTCTTTGGATCTTCCTCATCCTTATTCTCCACTCCTTCATCTGCTGCGAGTCCTCCTCCCTTCGGGATAGCCTCTTCTGGACCTGCCTCAACGTCTTCTCTTTTCGGCGCACAATCTTCAGCCACCGCCTCCACACCTTCCCTCTTCGGCTCTACTGCTCCCTCCTCTTCAGCCTCTGGCTCCACAACTTCCTTGTTTGGCGCCGCGCCGCAATCCTCATCAGCCTCTGGCTCCACACCTTCCTTGTTTGGCGCGCCGCAATCCTCATCCGCCTCTGGCTCTTCACCCTCCATCTTCGGCGGAGCAGCTGCGTCATCAGCCTCTGGCTCCTCACCGTCAATCTTTGGAGCCACTGGTTCGTCTCAGTCCATCTTCGGATCATCTTCCTCAGCCAGTTCAACACCGTCTCTCTTTGCATCCTCCATGTCAGGCGCAGCAGCTTCTTCTTCACCATCCCCGTTTGGATTTTCCACCAACACTTCCTCCACTACAACCAATCCCTCTGCTTCCACTGGACTCTCTTTCTCGAAAACCACAGGAAGTTCGACCCCTGCTATCTCCGCTTCTGCCGCTACGGCCTCGTCATCTTCCTCATTCTCATTTGCTACACCCGCAAGTTCAGCTCCTGCATCCACCACATCCCCAGCACTGTTCTCTATAGCAACCACCACCACCACGTCCTCTTCGACTCCTGCTGCCACTAGTGCGCCATCTTCTTCACCTGCAGCTTCTACAACGACGTTCCCTTCTTTTGGTGTGGGTTCATCTGCAGCCAACAGCATTCCGGCTACTACTTCTCCCGCTACAGGGTTTGGTTTGACTAGCTCGACTTCTTCTGCTGCTGCTACTACAACGCAGACGTCTCTTGTAGTATCTTCGACTAGTGGGTAATGTCTCTGCTCTTCTCATATAGGAGTTATACGGCTGTATTTGCTACTCTTGCCTTCACCATTATTTGTTTGTAGCTGATATATCCTTTTATGTGTTTCTTCTTTGTAGGACAAGCACAGCCGTTGCAGCTCCAGTGGCTGGTACTCCCAAGTTACCATCTGAAATAACTGGCAAAACTGTCGAGGAGGTAGATATCTGGCCTCGTATGCTTTATTTTTTCTTGACTTGTTGTTGTATTTATGTTCAAATGTTGATCTTTGGCGTTTTGAAGATCATCAAGGAGTGGAATACTGAGCTACTAGAGCGTACAGGAAGATTCAGGAAACAGGCAAATGCAATAGCTGAATGGGATAAGCGGATCCTGCAGAACCGTGATGTTCTTTTGAGACTTGAGGTTGGAGTCTCTTGGAATCTTTTTTTTTTTAATCTTCAAAGACTTTGTTCTAAGCTTACATCTGATTATGTATGTTTAGCTATTGTATACTTAGCTCATACTTTTCGTGTCCTTGCTCAACAAATAGATTGAAGTTGCAAAAGTGGTTGAAACACAGTCTAGTTTGGAGAGACAGCTGGAATTAATCGACACTCATCAACAAGAGGTATGCAGTAAAACTATTATCATCATATGTGAATCTGTAACGTGCAGTGAATCATTTGTGTGCTGTTCTAATCTGCATGACTGTATATATGTTTTGATTCGGAAATGGGTAAGTCATTATGTTAATTATCTGGATTTCTCTACTTGTGTATTCAGGTTGACAAAGCTTTGCAAAGCATGGAGGAAGAGGCTGAGCGTATATATAATGACGAGCGCAAAACGCTTCTTGACGATGAAGCTGCATCAACAAGAGATGGAATGTGAGAACTCTCAAGTCTTTACACAACCATCACTTTGCTGCATTCATATTATTCTAAATTGTTGTGAAGATCAAATCGTATTCATTCACTTGTCTATGGTTTTCTTTCATTATTCATCAAACGTACCTCACAATGACATCATTGCTTGATCTATATGCTTTACAAGACATAATTGTTTTCATTTTTTTCAGGTATGAACAGTCGGAGCTTGTAGAAAGAGAACTGGAGCATATGACTGAACAAATTAGATCGATAATACAATCCGTAAATGCAAACCAGGTACCATACACTATTCCTATATGAACATACATCATAACCTATCATATGCTATGGTAACTATTACTTTCCTGTGAACATAATACATGCTAACTTAGCATATGCTATTGTAAGTTTTACTTGTCTTGTTGTATGCTATTGTGACTTTTACTTATACAACAGCATTACTCTTTTGTTTGTGTATGTGAAATAGGGAGGAGAACTTGAAGCAGTTGATGGGATGAGTCCATTGGATGTAGTAGTCAGGATCTTGAACAATCAACTCAGTTCCTTGATGTGGATTGATGAGAAAGTAAGTTTTTGTTACTTTTATTTTGTTGGTTGATGAATTGTCTTCTGAACTAATACATTTGTGTAACTTAAAACATTGAAAACAGGCAGAGGAGTTCTCATCTCGGATTCAAAAGATCGCATCTCAAGGCTCTGGTGCAGACCGTGAACTGATGATGGCTCCAAAGCACTGGATGTCTTGATACAAATTGTCATGAATGGTCCTTTTTGTAGCAAAGATGCCTGATCCTTTGAAGATTGTTTACCTTTCTGTATCATTTGGAATTTGGATATTGATTGGTCATGTTTTTATCAGCGTTCACGAACACTGAAACTCTCCTCTAGAGAACTATTAATGTACACCGCTTTAAATGATTGGTCATGGTTTGTTGTTGTTGTTAACTTTCATGACACTGAAACTCCTCTCTAAAGAAGTATTAATTGCGCACCGCCTTAAGTGGATGAAAACGACGACGTGGTGTCCTTTTTTTATGAAGATTATTTTCTTTATTTTAAATAGATTTGTTTCCTTAATCATCAAAATAAAAGACTTTCTCACATGGAGGAAGATTAAAACGGAAGGGTCACGACGACTCACGCATTCCGAAACGAAACCGTCTTTGGAGAAATTCTCGTCTTCTTCGGTTGACCGGTATCGATGGCGGAGGGAAGCGCCGGTTCGCGTTACGTGAAGTTGAGGAAAGAGCAGGCTCCTGTGGAAGATATCACCCCCGGCGAACTCAATCAGCCCATCGATGTTCCTCAGGTCACAATCTCTCTCTGCATTTGACCTAACGCACGTTTCTACAGCACTCCGATCTCGATCCTTTAAATTATACCTTCAGATCTGTTTCGTAATCGTAATATTTTTTGATCGTTGTTTGTGTCGATCTAGACCTCTAGATGAGGGAACGTAATAGAATGTTGTAACTAGTCTCTGATTTTGATTGTTTGTGTCGATCTAGAGATCTCGAAGAGGGGATGGAATAATTTTCGTGTTTGACTGTTGATGAGTTTTGGTTTCAACATTGATTAGTCTCATCGATCAGATATTAAAAACAAGGCTAGAGACTCTAGTGACATTCCTTAGTCATGTATTACAATCACTTTTCTGATTGAAATTTTTGTGTACAGTTGAATGTTCGCAAGTGTCATGAATGTATGCAAGTTCTACCTGAAACCTATGAACCCCCTTCTGATGAAAACTGGACCACTGGCATTTTTGGCTGTGCTGAAGACCCCGAGAGCTGTAAGGGCCTTTTCCTCTTTGTTTTATAACTCTCCAAGCTTATGATCCTTAATTTTTTGAATGCTCTTCGTATGGTTTTTGCAGGCAGGACTGGTCTCTTTTGCCCCTGTGTGCTGTTTGGGCGTAACGTTGAAGCTGTGAGGGAAGAGATTCCTTGGACTCAACCATGTGTATGCCATGCAGTTTGTGTTGAAGGAGGAATGGCACTTGCAGCGGTAACCGCACTCTTCAGTGGCTACATTGATCCTCAAACAACAGTTGTGATATGCGAAGGCCTCTTCTTTGCGTGGTGGATGTGTGGAATCTACTCAGGCTTGTTCCGCCAAGAACTTCAGAAGAAATATCATCTCAAGGTTAAAAAATTAAAACTCCCAAATCATTGATCATTCTCTATGTATGATCTCTCTGAATTTCATCATTGTGATTGCAGAATGCGCCTTGTGATCATTGCATGGTTCACTGTTGCTTGCATTGGTGTGCCTTGTGTCAAGAACACAGGGAGATGAAGAATCATCTTTCTGATGCTGATGCGTCGTCTTCAACTACTATGGATCCTCCTCCAGTTCAAGCGATGAGCACCGAGGAGAGGAAAGAAGCTTCATCTTCTTCTTCATCAACATCATCTCCATCATCTGCCAAAAGCCAACACAATGATCTCGAGATGGTCCCTCTTTAGGAAACATTCCTTACAATCTCTCTGCTCCGTATGCTCTCGCTAAGCTGTTAACGTTTTTTGTGCAGAGAAGTTTTCGTAACAGCTGATTCCGTCGGTTTTACAAATGCAAGTTTGTTATATGAACAAGTTCATTAGTACTTTTTACAATTTGGAGTCATTGGATCTTTTTTGGATAAGGAAGTAAATTATTTCTCTTAGCTATCATTGTGAACTTGTGAGATATATGCACAATCTCATTCTAATCACTCTCTGCAAGATTGAGATCTTTACTTGTTAACTCGGAGTTTTCTAAACGTTGAATATGTAAAAATCAAAAAGCGCCCGTGGCCTAATGGATAAGGCGTTTGACTTCTAATCAAACGATTGTGGGTTCGAGTCCCACCGGGCGTGATTACGATGTCGTTTTTTTTGTTCTATTTACATAATTCGATTTTAGTTTTGTGTATTTTATGGCCCAATCACAATCTCCTCTCTCTCTCATAAAGTTGACGAAACCAAAAATATCTTTTATTTTTCTAATTTTTTAAATCGAGAAAAAAAAGTCTGCAAAATACATTTCCCCCGAGTATTAAAAAACCTCACTCAAACCCATTTTTCTAAAACCCTCATTTCCCCAAAAAGCGCTATGCCGAGGTTTCCTCCATCTCCGTCGCCTAACCTCCTCACCAGACTCTTCTCCTCCAACAAACGCTCCTCATCCTCCCCCACCGCCGCACTTCTCTCCGGAGACTTCCATCTCCGCCAATTCTCCTCCGGAAACGCCGCCCGCGCCGCGAAAGGCGACAAGGAGCCATGGTGGCAGGAATCGATGAACAAGGTCCGCAACATCGGGATCTCAGCTCACATAGACTCAGGCAAAACCACGCTCACCGAGCGCGTACTGTTCTACACGGGCCGGATCCACGAGATCCACGAAGTCAGAGGCAGAGACGGCGTCGGCGCTAAGATGGATTCCATGGACTTGGAGCGTGAGAAAGGTATCACTATTCAATCCGCCGCCACGTACTGTACTTGGAAGGATTACAAGGTGAGTTAGATAAGAGAGATCTCTCTTCTGGTAAATAAATTAATGATTTACGTTTGGGGAGAATCGAACCGTGGTCTCAAGCTTCCGTATATATAACACATTCGCCACTAGACTACTTGATTGTTCTACTGATTGTTGATTTTTTTCACAGATTCGTGTTAATTTTTTGGTTGTTTGATTGATGTTAGGTTAATATTATTGATAAGATTACAAGATGAGTAGTAGAAGAGAGAGTAACAAATTAATGTTATTACGTTTGGGGAGAATCGAACAGTGGTCTCGAGCTTCCACTAGACCTACTTGATTGTTGATTTTTTTTCTCAGATTCGTGTTGTTTGATTGATGTTAGGTTAATATTATTGATACGCCTGGTCACGTTGACTTCACTATTGAAGTGGAGAGAGCTTTACGTGTACTAGACGGTGCGATTCTAGTCCTATGCAGTGTTGGTGGTGTGCAGAGTCAGTCTATTACTGTTGACAGGCAGATGAGGAGGTATGAGGTTCCGAGAGTCGCGTTTATTAACAAGCTTGATAGAATGGGAGCAGATCCGTGGAAAGTGTTGAGCCAAGTATGTTGTTGTATAACAACCTATGATGTTTATATCAATGGAACGAGTTAGATTTATTGGTTAGGTAACTTTTTTTTTTTTTTTTGCTAGGCAAGAGCGAAGCTTCGACATCATAGTGCAGCTGTGCAAATGCCGATTGGTCTAGAAGAAAATTTCAAGGGTCTTATTGACCTTGTGCATGTGAAAGCTATTTTCTTCCATGGATCTAGCGGGTTTGTGTTGAAATACATTTTTTTTTTTTGTAGAATTGGTTATGTTTTACATGTTGTGACGTTTTTGATTGTGTGTGTGAATTGCAGTGAGAATGTTGTGGCTGGTGATATTCCTGCTGATATGGAAGAGTTGGTTGCGGAGAAGAGGCGAGAATTGATAGAGACAGTCTCTGAAGTTGATGATGTGCTCGCTGAGAAGTTTCTAAATGATGAGCCTATTACTGCTGCTGAGCTTGAGGTTTTGTTCTTTTATCCTATGGTGTTTGTTATTTGACGTATTTGGCATTGTGTGCATATAATCGGCGATGATAGTAAAAGCAACATTCATCGCGTGAATCAAAAGAAGATAGTTCCCGGATTATTAATAGATATTGTTGGCTAAGTTCTGGTAGTTAGTTAACTGATTTCATTTTAACAGATATCAATTCTGAGGGAACGTTGAATCATGTGGACCCTACTTGCCTTAGTCTTTGTCTTGTCTTTTCACTTCTAGAGCCAATGAACTGCTATGTTTAGATATTATTGTTCGCTCTGCAGTTTCGTTATTGTTAACTTGTTTTTGGCCTGCTGTATACATGAGCAGGAAGCTATTCGCAGAGCTACCATTGCACAAAAGTTTGTTCCTGTATTTATGGGCAGTGCATTCAAAAACAAGGTACATAATTGCTTCTTCAGATGTAACAGCTGATACTGTGCAAGTTTGGACGGTGCGTTCATCTTTCTGTTGTCATATCAAACGTATTGAAAAGTTGTCAACATGCTTCCTTCGTTTTTTTCTCTGCAGGGAGTACAACCTCTACTAGATGGTGTTGTTAGCTATCTTCCTTGTCCAACCGAAGTCAATAACTATGCTCTTGACCAGGATAATGAAGAAGCGAAGGTACTCTACTTGCAATATCTTTTATGGTAAAAAAATAAACCGATTCTAAAACAGTGAAATTTCAGGTAACCTTGACCGGTTCTCCAGATGGACCTCTTGTTGCGCTGGCTTTTAAACTAGAGGAGGGACGTTTTGGTCAGCTAACATATCTAAGGTGAATTCTTGATCTCTTGTAGATGGGATGGGATGGGATGGGATGGGATGGGATGGGATGGGATGGGATAGACTAACTTATGTTCTTTTGTTATTGCAGAATATACGAAGGTGTGATTAAGAAGGGTGATTTTATCATAAATGTTAATACTAAAAAGAGAATAAAGGTTAGTCCATGAATGTTCGTATTGCTTTGAGATTTTTCAGTGTCATGAAGGCCTGTACCTAAAATTACACTGTAATAAGTATATTGCCTGTTTTACTTATTTAAAATCTTGGTACAGGTTCCACGCTTGGTCCGTATGCATTCTAATGATATGGAGGTAAGGCATCTTGATACAGATTGTTGTTCTCCTTAAGATTCCATTATGCAGTCGGATTCTAGAATTTTATTATATTTTTCAGGATATTCAAGAGGCACATGCTGGAGAAATAGTAGCTGTGTTTGGTATTGACTGTGCATCAGGTACAGTAGATAACACTTGTGTGCTTGTTCATTATTTTTAACATAATTTGCTTCTTTGGGTATGTGACGTACTTTCGGCATAAAATTCCTAACCTTGTTATATTATCAGGTCATACATTTACAGATGGATCAGTCAAGTACACAATGACATCGATGAGTGTTCCTGAACCTGTTATGTCCTTGGCTGTTCAACCAGTTTCAAAAGATGCGGGTGGACAGGTAACTTTTGTAGCTAAAACAACTTGATATTGTTTCTTTAACTTTTTTGGCTTTGAGAAGTTCGCTACTAAAATCTATTTTCTGGTGTTAGTTCTCGAAAGCATTGCAACGATTCCAGAAAGAGGATCCTACTTTCAGAGTGGGATTGGATCCCGATAGTAACCAGGTATTTATCTTATCAACTCCGTTGCTTTCTCATCACCTTTTCTCTTATCTCCTTTTCTCTTATCTCATCACCTTGGTAATATTACAACATTGATGATTCTTCCGTTTAATGGGATACAGACGATTATTTCTGGTATGGGGGAGTTGCATTTGGATATTTATGTTGAACGTATGCGCAGAGAATATAAGGTATCTGACTTTAATCCTACACAATGATCTCACCATATAGCCTCTACTCAACGGAAAATCCCCTATTTTTTGCAAACAGGTTGATGCGACTGTTGGCAAACCTCGTGTCAACTTTAGAGAGACTATCACTCAGCGGGCTGAGTTCGATTATCTACACAAGAAGCAGAGTGGAGGAGCGGGTCAGTACGGTAGAGTTACCGGGTGAGTATCTAATTTTTTTTTGAATGACGTGGTAGGGGATCACTTGTAAACCAATCCTAATGCCTACTCAAATTCTTGTAACTGTTGCTAGGTATGTGGAACCTCTACCATCGGACTCTAAAGAGAAATTTGAGTTCGAAAACATGATTGTTGGACAAGCGATTCCGTCTGGTTTTATACCAGCAATCGAGAAAGGTTTCAAAGAAGCTGCAAACTCGTGAGTGGTCTTTTTTTCCTCTTTGACTTTTCTTTTGGTTCTCCTTTCATGTTGTCATTGTGAAAACCTTTGATTCCATATTGCAGGGGATCCCTAATTGGTCATCCGGTAGAGAATATTCGGATAGTATTGACAGATGGAGCTTCACACGCCGTAGATTCCAGTGAACTTGCGTTTAAAATGGCTGCAATATACGCGTTCAGACTGTGTTACACAGCAGCTAAACCCGTGATTCTAGAGCCTGTCATGTTGGTTGAGTTGAAAGTACCAACAGAGTTTCAGGGCACTGTTGCTGGTGACATCAACAAGTAAAATAAAACCCTAAACCCCTATCAACTCTTTATCCATGTTTTATTGGTAAATAGCTCAGCTTAATATTTTTTTTTTCTTACAGGAGGAAAGGTATAATCGTTGGGAACGATCAAGAGGGTGATGATTCAGTAATCCAAGCTCATGTGAGAATTAATACAAAGCTTTTGTTACTATTATAATCCGTTCGGATCTTGAAACTGTTATTAACTTGTGAATATGTTTGTGATTTATAACAGGTGCCTTTGAACAACATGTTTGGTTATTCCACATCTCTCCGCTCCATGACACAGGTACTACCATCATCATCATTATCATTATTCATGAACATTATGAAGACACTGTTGAATATAATTAATTACTTTGGTGAAAATGTTGGACAGGGAAAAGGAGAATTTACGATGGAATACAAAGAACACTGTGCTGTGTCAAACGATGTCCAGGCTCAGCTCGTCAACGCCCACAACGCCACCAAATCAACTGATTAGTTCCTCCAATCGATATCCTATGGTTTTGTCATCTTTTAATAGATGATTTTTTTTGTGTTTTTTTTTCATAGCTCAACATTATTTATACGGTTCCTTCTTACAGGGAACAAAATCACTCGGCATAAAATGTTAATGCTTGATGGGCTTTGTCAAAAAAGTCTATTTCAAGATTACTGGGCGTTGAGCCCTTCAACCTTTTTAATTTTTAATCCCATCTCTTGTTCACTAATGGCAAATCAACTGTTTCATCACAGATTGATGTATCAATAAATATTAGTCTTTTATATCGTCTATGTAATAAGATAGGGTCCAAAATAAGGCAACCAGAAATCGTTAGAGACAATCATTGAGATAGAGTCGTCTTCACGTCAAATGAGAAGAAAGAAACTGACTCCAACGAACTAGCTCAGACTTTTCTGTTATAACTTCATCTCAAAGCCACTTCTCTTTTCTTTCTCGAAGAGGAGTTGGTGTGATGACTAACATCATACCCGTTCGTTCAAGTTGTTACTATTTTCCTATCTAATTTCTGCTTCTTTTCCTAAGCTAACCTTTGATAACTACTATACCAAACATATATGTTTTTAAGTTGTAAACCAAAACAAATTTTATGATAATCTTTGTCAAGAGACAATCACCTCCACGTTTTCTCTTCTCGAAGTCTCGATTCTAAGGAGAGTTGTATTACTGAACTTTTCTTCGTCTAATGATTAATTAAGATATTTCTTTAAACTCAACAGTCAACATAGTAGTATTATAATTTTTCTTTTATTTCACCCTATCACGTACCTTGTCGAATCAAAATTTGGTGTGTTTTGGTTAGTTAATAACTTACTACTGAACTAAACACAATCCATTCATTAATTTTATAACCAATTGTTCCAAACCCATTAAAACCAAAATATCTTTCTATATATATCAAAGCTTTTCCCTCCACGCCATCTTCCATATCCAAAAGGATCATCTCACCATGCATCATCATCATCATCCATGTAATCTCAAACACATCACCTTCTTCTTTCTTATCTATCTCAGTCTCCATATCCCACAAACAATAGAGGCTCGAAACCCATCTCAGTTCAAACCATCCCGACATAACGTCAATATACCGGAAATAAAACGTCATCTTCACCGGTTCGGTTACCTACAACACAACAACAACAACGTCTCGTTCGAGCAAGCTCTCTCTCGCTACCAGAAAAATCTCGGTCTACCGATAACCGGGAAACCAGATTCCGACACGTTGTCACACATTCGGTTACCAAGATGCGGATTCCCTGATGACGTGGACCCCAAAACAACGGCGCCGTTTCACACAAAACAAAAATACGTGTATTTCCCCGGAAGCCCCAGGTGGACAAGAGACGTCATCCCACTCCAACTCACCTACGCCTTCTCACAGCAGAACCTAACCCCTTTCCTAACAAAACCACAAATACAGCGCGTGTTCCGACGCGCTTTCGCCAAGTGGGCTTCAGTGATCCCTGTCACCTTCACCGAAACAGAGGACTACGAAACCTCCGACATCAAAATCGGATTCTTCGCCGGAGACCACGGCGACGGAGAGCCGTTCGACGGTGTTTTAGGCGTTTTAGCACACACTTTCTCGCCGGAGAACGGTAGGCTTCATCTAGACAAAGCGGAGACGTGGGCCGTCGATTTCCACGAGCAGAAATCAACGGTCGCCGTTGATTTGGAATCAGTGGCTGTGCACGAGATAGGTCACGTGCTTGGGCTGGGCCATAGCTCCGTGAAAGAAGCGGCTATGTATCCAACATTAAAGCCCAGAAGTAAGAAAGTGGAGTTGAACGTTGATGATGTCGTTGGAGTACAGTCTTTGTACGGAACTAACCCTAATTTCAACTTGAGTGGTTTACTTGCGTCGGAAACTTCGACCAATCTAGCTGATGACATGTTGGTTCGGTCTGAAGACTAAACTGAAGTCAAGATAAGTTGTGGGTTGGCCGAGTCTTTAGGCACGTTTGTTTGAGTTGTTTTAAGTTAAATAAGATCTCCTGAGATCATGGTTTAGTTGCAGGTTTTTAGGAGTTTAAGTTGATCATAAGGTCGTATAAAAGACCACCTCTGTTTCAGTTTTTTTTGTATCACTTTTATCATCTTTCAANGCCGAGTCTTTAGGCACGTTTGTTTGAGTTGTTTTAAGTTAAATAAGATCTCCTGAGATCATGGTTTAGTTGCAGGTTTTTAGGAGTTTAAGTTGATCATAAGGTCGTATAAAAGACCACCTCTGTTTCAGTTTTTTTTGTATCACTTTTATCATCTTTCAATCTATAAAAGTACTATTCAGCTTTGATTACGTGATCCTTAAGTAACAAGTGGTATCAGAGCCACTAAATCTAAGCTGAGAAAGTAAAAGTAAGAGAGAATGAGTGAAAAAGAGTTCAAAATTCCGAAGTTTGATGGAGATTATGAGCATTGGGCAATGCTCATGGAGAACTTGTTGAGATCCAAGGAGTGGTGGGATCTCATTGAAACCGGAGTCATGCAATCAGAGAGAAACGTAGTCTTAACCGGAGCTCAACGTACTGAGCAGGCAGAACAAAAACTTAAAGACCTAAAGGTGAAGAATTACTTGTTTGCGTCCATTGAGAAAACAATCCTCAAGACCATTGTGAAGAAAGAAACCTCGAAGGACATTTGGGATTCAATGAAAAACAAGTATCAAGGGAACAAGAGGGTGCAGAGCTCGCAGTTGCAGAGATTGAGAAGGAATTTTGAAGTTCTAGAGATGAAGGAAGAAGATTCAATCACAGAGTACTTTTCTCGGGTGATGGTGGTAGCTAACGATATGAGAAATCTGGGGGAGGATGTTCCTGATGCTAAGGTGGTGGAGAAGGTTTTGCGCACGTTGGTGGAGAAATTCACCTATGTGGTGTGTGCAATAGAAGAATCAAAGGACATCACGACGATGACAGTGGACGAGTTACAAAGTTCACTGCTAGTTCATGAGCAAAATCTGGTCAAGCAAGTCAGGGAGGATCATGCTCTCAAAATGGAAGAAGGTAGAGGACGAGGAGGTTATGGATACCGAGGAAGAGGTAACTTCAGAGGAGGAAGAGGAGGACGAGGCAGAGGAAGCTTTAACAAAGACAATGTTGAATGCTATAAGTGTCACAAGATGGGGCACTTTAAGAATGAGTGTCCAGAGTGGGATAGGAACGCTAACTATGCTGAGTTTGAGGAAGATGTGCTGTTAATGGCTCAGACAGAACTTGCCAACAACGAGAAGGAACACGTGTGGTATCTAGACTCAGGATGCAGCAATCACATGTGTGGTGTTAGGGAATGGTTTGTTAGCTTTGATGACTCGTTCTCTCAAAGTGTGAAACTGGGAGACAACAGAAGAATGGAAGTTGAAGGAAAAGGTAATCTAAGGTTGGAGATTGACGGATGCATACAGGTAATCACCTCAGTTTATTTTGTACCTGGACTCAAGAACAACCTCATGAGTGTAGGGCAGTTGCAAGAGAAGGGTTTGAAGATTGTGATAGAGAATGATTCCTGTGAAGTATGGCACAAGCAGCAGAAAAGACTGATCATGCGGTCCAAGATGTCTAGAAACCGAATGTTTGTGGTTTTGTCTAAGATCAGAGAGCCAAAGAAAGACGTGGAAGCAAACAATCTGATGAGCTCAACAGAAGATAATGAAGAAATATGGCACTGCAGGTTTGGGCACCTAAATCTAAACAATCTTGTGACACTGGCCAAGAAAGAGATGGTGACTGGATTACCAAAGATCACAAACACTGAAGCTGTGTGTGAAACGTGTATGAAGGGGAAACAAATCCGAACCAATATACCAAAGAAGAGCCTGTGGAAGGCAAGTAGAGTGCTGGAGCTGATCCACACTGACATATGTGGACCAATAACACCCATCTCTGAGAGTGGAAAGAGATACATCATCAACTTCATTGACGATTACAGCCGCAAATGTTGGAGCTATTTCTTGGTGGAGAAATCTGAAGCTTTCAAAACCTTCAGAGACTTCAAAGCAGCCGCAGAGAGAGAAAGCGGTGAGATGCTTGTATGCTTGAGGTCTGACAGAGGAGGGGAATTTAATTCCAAAGCTTTTCAAGACTACTGTGTGGAGAAGGGGATCAAGCGTCAACTCACTGCTGCATATACCCCTCAGCAGAATGGTGTTGCCGAAAGGAAGAACCGAAGCATGATGAACATGGTCAGGTGCATGCTATTTGGAATGGGAGTACCACTACGTTTCTGGCCTGAAGCTGCACAATATGCTGTCCATATCCTCAACCGAAGTCCAACTGCAATTTTGGAGAACGTCACACCTGCAGAGAAATGGGGTAAGAGTAAACCTTCTGTTGATCATCTTCGGATCTTTGGCTGTGTTGCATTTGCGTTGATCCCATATGAGAGACGTGTGAAGCTTGATGAGAAGAGTATTAAGTGTGTGATGTTTGGTGTGAGCAAGGAGTCCAAAGCATATCGTCTCTATGATCCGGTATTAAAGAGAATTATTATCTCTAAAGATGTGAAGTTTGATGAGACTAAAGGATGGGATTGGGAAGAGACAGTGGAAGGCAACAAGTTTATAGAAGTAGCTGAAGAAGAAGAGAATCCTCAGGTTGCAGAAACTGAAGATGAACAAGAAGAAGCAGAGAATGAACCTGCTACTGAAACTGTCTTGAATCCAGTAGCAGTCACTGCGCCTAACACACATGAAGGAAGAGTGGGAAGAAACAAGCAAAGACCAGCCTGGATGAGTGACTATGACTGTGAGGGAATGCTAATGGAGGAAGAGAATGTAGAGATGGTTGCTCTGTACGTATCAGGAGAGGATCCTGAAACTTTTGAAGAAGCAATTCAACACGACAAGTGGAAGTCAGCTATGAAGAAGGAGATAAGCTCAATAGAAGAGAATGATACTTGGGAACTGGTCAGCTTACCAGAAGGAGGAAAGGTGATAGGAGTAAAGTGGGTTTTTAAAACGAAACTCAATGAAAATGGTGAGGTTGACAAGTTCAAGGCGAGATTGGTTGCAAAGGGCTTTCATCAAACGCATGGCATAGACTTTCATGAAGTCTTTGCTCCAGTAGCAAGATGGGACACCATCAGATTAATACTAGGAGTGTCAGCGCAAAGGGGTTGGGAAGTGTATCAACTAGATGTGAAAAGCGCCTTCTTGCATGGTGAATTAAGAGAAGATGTCTATGTGGAGCAACCGAAGGGCTTTGAGATAAGAGATGAGAAAGATAAGGTGTACAAGCTCAAGAAGGCTCTCTACGGCCTGAAACAAGCACCAAGGGCATGGTACAGCAGAATTGAAGGATACTTCATGAAAGAAGGCTTTACCAAGTGCTACTGCGAGCATACATTGTTCGTGAAGAAGGAAGGAGATGATGTCCTGATAGTGAGTCTGTACGTTGATGATCTCATTTATACAAGTAGCTCTGCAACTATGCTCGAAGGATTCAAGGCGTCTATGATGAGTGAGTTTTCTATGACTGATCTTGGTAGAATGAAGTATTTTCTTGGAGTAGAAGTAACTCAAGATGAATCTGGAATCTTCATTGGTCAAAAGAAGTATGCTAATGAAGTGTTAAGCCGTTTTGGGATGGAAGGATGTAATGCAGTTAGAAACCCAACAGTTCCTGGTTGCAAGCTAACGAAGGAAGGAAATGGATCAATGGTGGATGCTACTATGTTCAAACAGCTAGTTGGAAGCTTAAGGTACTTGACAGCCACGAGACCTGATCTTATTTACTCTGTAAATCTTGTTAGCAGATTCATGGAAGCTCCAACAGAGCAGCATCTATTGGCTGCTAAGAGGATTCTCAGGTACGTGCAAGGTACTAAAGACTATGGAGTACAGTATAGACGTGGTGGAGAAGGAAAATTGGTTGGATTTGTTGATAGCGATTATGCAGGAGATGAAGATGATCGGAAAAGTACTTCGGGTTACTTGTTCTTGTATGGGGAAGGTGCTGTGTCGTGGGCTTCGAAGAAGCAGCCTATTGTGACTCTCTCAACAACTGAAGCCGAGTACGTTTCAGCAGCGAATGGAGCATGCCAAGCTGTGTGGATGAGAAATATACTGCAGTGTATCGGATGTGATCAGAAGGAAGAAACTGTTATGTATTGTGACAACAGCTCAACCATTAAGTTATCAAAGAATGCGGTTCTACATGGAAGAAGTAAGCATATACAAGTGAGGTATCATTTTCTCCGTGAGCTAGTTGCAGATGAGGTTATTGGATTGGAGTATTGCTCCACACAAGATCAAATTGCAGACATGATGACTAAACCAGTTAAGCGAGAAGTGTTTGAGAAGCTAAGAGGTTACATGGGAGTACAGCTGAAGAATGAGTAAACTGGAGATGGAGCATTTCCAGTTTAGGGGAGGAATTGAAGACTAAACTGAAGTCAAGATAAGTTGTGGGTTGGCCGAGTCTTTAGGCACGTTTGTTTGAGTTGTTTTAAGTTAAATAAGATCTCCTGAGATCATGGTTTAGTTGCAGGTTTTTAGGAGTTTAAGTTGATCATAAGGTCGTATAAAAGACCACCTCTGTTTCAGTTTTTTTTGTATCACTTTTATCATCTTTCAANGCCGAGTCTTTAGGCACGTTTGTTTGAGTTGTTTTAAGTTAAATAAGATCTCCTGAGATCATGGTTTAGTTGCAGGTTTTTAGGAGTTTAAGTTGATCATAAGGTCGTATAAAAGACCACCTCTGTTTCAGTTTTTTTTGTATCACTTTTATCATCTTTCAATCTATAAAAGTACTATTCAGCTTTGATTACGTGATCCATAAGTAACACGGTCCGAAGGAGTTGTCTATTCGATTTTGAGTACTCTTCTCGTTCTCGGTTTTTTAAATCTTTAGGTTTTTATAGGCCACAGATTGATTAATTCAATCTCAAAAAGTGTATAGAATCATAGATGCATGGGAATATAATTAAGTTGTTTTCTTAATAGTGTTGAATGTATTATTTTTCTTATAAATGGATATACAGTCAGCAGCAACGAGGCCCATTACAAATGGGTTATGATATTAACGGCCCAGAAGATTGTACGTAAGACCACAAGCTGAAGAAGATGTAACTTTGGCCTATCTTTTTCTCAAGTACGGAAGAAGTAAACACCAAACACACCAGAGGATGCTAAAGATCCATAAAAGGGGAAAATGACAAATAAACTTTTGATTTTGTCTAGATGAATGGAGTAATGCTGGGTAAATTATTTTGTAAAAGAATTGAATAGCTCCGACACAATTTCTTTGGATATCTATCTTCAATTGTCGCTGTCGCATTCAACATAAAGTAGGCT